ACACTTCCAAGATCTCCAAAGACAGCCATTTGAGGACTCCAGTCCACACCAGACTTGAGGGCTTTAAATGCATACAGTGCACTCCAACCCTCTAATCCACCACAATGATACTCTGCAAGTTACAATGACAAGCAAGATTTTATAGTGGAATAATGACCAGTACTTGAAAAATAATCCTCAAATCTTATATTAATACAAAAATATTTAAATTATACAATTGAAAACAAAGATTGTCTGTAATTAAAAATCTCAATAATTTTCACATTGGACAATAATTGGATAATTAGTCACTGAAAATCTATACTTAATCCTGGTGATGATACCCACCATACGTCTGATTGGGAACCAGTCCTGTCAATTTCACCCTGTGAATGTACAACACTCGATGTTCTGATCCGCCGTCAGTGAATTTAGTGATGTCACCAGAAGCTTGTAATGTCAGAGGAAAACCAACCTTGTTGTACTGAACAATAGAGTAGTTTGTGTTTGCCAAAGTCACCCATGTAACCATCATCTCTGTTGGGTCTCCTGCAAGAGCAAAAAGGTTTCTATTTATATTGATAAAACAAAATCAAATTTAACAGTAATGCAGATTATCTATTCCAAATTCACACATATATCTGTGACTGTACTGTTAATACGTGGTTCCAGAAAATATCCATACCTACCATAAGGAGGGTAGCTGGGAATTGAGAGAGGTCTCATATGCCAAAAATTTGAAAAGAAACTTAATGGACAAAAACAGGAATTTCCAGAGGGATGGGAAGGGAAAGGGGAAGGGGGTATAAAATCAATGTTTTAAATATTTGAGACAAATGACACTGCCATTGATCTGCAATACTATTGGCTCATTTGACTCTTTCATGAAAGTGTCATGGAGTAAAAACCTTGGTTATCTGGGTGTTGAAACCTGTTACAGTCAAGCACCTGTGATGGTCATCTTAGACATGTCCTTCTTGACCATCGCAGGACTGTCAGGGCTAATTACTAATTATCCATTACCCTTTGTGACAGCATAACAATAATTGGGAGATTAGTATATAATAAAGCTATGTAATACCATCATTTAGTTACTTCCAATCATCATGCCCACAACAGCTGTCACGGAATTTGGCACCTTGCCTTTCTGGGATTTCGCTGTTACAGGCACTAAGAGAATTGGCACTATTACCTATGTTTATGGGTATTTTTATGGTCACTTCAAGAACAGGTTTCTCCCTAAAAGGGGGTTTCTCTTGGTGGGCAGTTTCTTCTTGCCAATAAACTGGGACAGTTGCTCTGCTGTAGTAGTCTGTTGGACCTATTTACTATTACTGATGGATTTTGGGTACCTTTGACTCCACAAATAAAACCCTCTCTGATCACTTCGTTGCAGAGTCGTCATGGATTTCAATAAAGAGGAAT